AGAAAGGAAAGGGGCACAAGAGAAGATGAGCCCCACAGTGCATGACCCCAGTGACCTCGTTCCTCCAGCTAGGCCCCTCTCAGTAGTCCACTCAGCCATCGATGGATTAATCCACTGCTGAGAGCAGAGCCCTCTTGATCTAATCTTTTCCCCAAAGCCCCACCTCTGAGCACACGAGGCTTGGGGGACAGCCCATATCCAAACCCCTCTGTGAGCATGGTATACACCTTTCCATTTTCAATCAGTCTGGAGTATCTTGATTTATTCCTAGGTAACTTACAGTTCTGTTGTTACTGTAAATGCCTTTTTTCCTCCCTTCCTGCCTCCCTTTTCTTTTTAAAGCTGGCAAGGAGTTTATTTTTCTTATATGAAGAGGTGAGTGTCCAGGACGGGTTGGGCAGTCGGTTATGCTGTCGAGGGCCCACACTCCTGGAGCCTGCAGCTGGTTTTCTCCTGGCCATGAGATGAGTCCTCCAGCTCCAGGAATAGGGCCCCAGGTCCTGGAGGGAATAAGTGGGATGGAGAAGGGGGAGGCAAAGGGCGGAAGGTAGGGAGACCAATCAATCATTCTGTTCCTGGTGACTTTTCTTGACTTGTCCTTGGCTGGGAGCAGGAGTCACAGCAACCCTTGTGCCATGGTTTGGCTGTGGCTTGTCCCCCAAAGGCTCATGTGTTGGAAGCTTGGTTTCCTCCTGGTGGAGCCTCGTTGTGGGGCCTAATTCGAGGTGGTCGCGTCACTGGAGGCACGCCTTTGGAAGGAACCAAAGTAGTTCTCTGGCAAGTGAGTTATGAGTTATAAAAAAAGCACGCTGGGCCCTGGATCTCTCTCTGGCTTCCTGTCTTACTACATGGTCCCTCCCTCTTGCACATGCTCCCACCATGATGCTACCAGCCATATTGTGATGTGCAGCTAAGGGCGCCCTCACCTGAGCGGCTTCCAGGTCTTGTCTTTTTAGCTTCCAAAACTATGAGTAAATAAATCTCTCTCTCACTCTCTTTTTGGTAGTACTGGTGAAGGAACCCAGGAGTTCGATCAGCCCTTTTGAGGTTTATTTTAAGACAGGATTTCACCAAGTTGCCCAGGCTGACCTTGAATTTGCAGTCCTCCTGCCTCAGCTTCTCAAGTAGCTGGAATTACAGGTGTGAGCCACCACTCCTGGCCAACCTCTTCTTTATAAGTACCCAGCATCAGGTACTTTGTTATAGCAAGAGAAAAGGGACTAACACACCTGGTTGCAAAAAAGATAGGGGGTGGTGACTTTTTTTTTTTTAATAGGGTACACAGCTGCCTTGAACAAACCTGGATTTCTGTTAGTAAGGAAGAACAACTACGAGATTGACGGTCTCTAGGAATACTATTTACCTTAAAGTCTTATTTATTTATTTATTTAGTGGTGCTGATGGTCAGACCCAGGGCTCGTGCAGGCTAGTTAAAGTCTTATTTTAGTGGAACTGTGCCAATGTGGTTGTTATTTCTTTTCCCCCCATCCTTTTACTCTCAGTCTTTGTGTTCTTGTTTTAGATGTGTTTTATGTAAATGGCATGTGGCTGAATTTTATAAAATACAGTCTATCTTTATATTTTTAAAGACAAATTTATCCATTTGTGTTTATTGCAGTTATTTACATAATTTAATTTCGACCCATGACCATTGTTTTTCTGCTATTTGTTTCTTCTTAAAAAGCATTTGTTTTTATCTCCTGTTTTCTTACTTTGCAGTCATTTTTTTCTCATTTTACATTTTTTCTCCAAATTTAAAGTTTTATGATTATTTCTATTCTTTTGGTAATTGTCTTTGAACTCTTAATAAAGGACTTGCATTTAACTATTCCAATCAGGTATTAGTTGCCTGAACACATGAATAAATAAGCTAGCAAAGACTAAATTGAATTAACTTTTTTTTTTCCAAACAAAGTCTGTATAACCCTTTAACTTTATTGTTTTTTGCCAGGAGGGAAAGAAAGAATTTTGCCATTTCTTTTTTTTTTTTTTTTTGTATTAGGGATTGAACCCAGGGGCACTTAACCTACTGAGCCACATGCCCAGGCCTTTTTATATTTTATTTTGAGACAGGGTCTCAGAGTTGCTTAGGGACTTGCTAAGTTGCTGAGGCTGGCTTTGAACTTGCAATCCTTCTGCCTCAGCCTCCTGAGTTGCTGGGATTACAGGTGTGTGCCACTGCGCCTGGCTAATTTTGCCATTTTTTTTTCTTTTTGGTCAGTGTCACTTGAGTGGTTTTAAGATGTTCTTTTTGGGGCCTGAGGTTTTGGCTCAGCAGTAGAATGCTTACCTAGCATGTGTGAGGCACTGGGTTCGATCCTCAGCACCACATATAAATAAATAAAATAAAGGTCTTGTGTCCACTTACAACTAAAAACAAAACAAAACAAAACGATGTTCTTTTTGTTTCCTGAAATTTTTCTTTGATGTGTTTAGATGAGAATTTCTTTTCATTTTATGTTTGCTTGTTTCCTCTCTCTGAGAATTATTATTCTGTTGTTAATTCAGGAAATTTCTCAGCCACTGTGTCTGAACATTTCTCTCACTCTGTTTTTTCCTCTTGGGCTTCTGCCTGGACATAGGTGAGACCTGGTGTCTCAGCTGCATTCCAGGCAGTTCCTTCAGACCTGTCTTCTAGTTCACCACTTCTTTCTGCAGCTGTTTGCTTACTGGGAGCTTTATTCGAATTACTATAATTTTCATTTCTAGATGCTCTCATTGGGATTTTAAAATCATATTTGATTACTTTTTAAATTTTCTTATTTTTGCCAATAGTTGAATTACCATTTTTTATTTCTTTGAACATATGAAACATGCTAACTTTATAACTTTGTATTCTATATCTAAATATGACAGTTTTGAAAGATTTGTGTCCTTGATTTGATGTTTGGAATTTGTGCTAAATCGCAGGTGTTTTTTTCCCCCTCCGTGAAACCATGCTTTCAGGAATTTATTGGAGCCCCAGGTGAAGGTGAATTTCTCCAAACAGTTTGCATTTGTTTCCGACAGGCGGCGTCTGAGTCACTGCCATCTTGAGGGCCTTTAAAGTCTCCTTCCAGGGTTTTTGATCCTCTGAACAATCTGTGGCTTCTTGTTGCAACCAGCTTGTGTCTGAGACTTTCCATCTCACTCCTTTCACCAAGATTCTCCTGGTCATCTCGCTGATGGAGTGGACTCCCCGCAGTTATCCCCTGAGGTGGAAGATTCCTAGAGCTCTTCACTCAGCTCTTTACTGCTCAGCCTGGGAGGCTCTAAGTGTGCTGATGACCGTTCAGAGCAGTTTGAAGCTGGCAGAAGCCCAGAGAGCAGTGCACCGGAGGGAGTGGACACAGTGGACTGCTCTCATCAAGGTTCTGTTTGCAGGGCTGGCCTTGGGCTGTCTTCTTGGCTTTTGGCTTTTGCAATGTTCCTGTGCTGATAAGGTGGTTTTATGTCCCTGGACACAACTCCACCACCTCGGCTCGCCTGGACTGTACAGATGTGATGTAGGTGCCTGATTTTCCCTTTGGAGTCTTGAATTGTAGTAGCTGTGCAGGCAGAGAGTGCCTCTGTGGCAGCCCCCAGTAAAAATTTTTGACTTTTAAGTGGACTTCCCTAGGCAGAAACACAGACATGTTCCTGTGTGGTCTCTCACTTTGGGAGGATGCAGTAAGCCTGGGCTTGGATTCCTCCAGAACCCACCTATTGTTGAGGTTGTCACAGGGGTCCCTTTCATGTAACAGGGTATACTTCAGGCTTTAAATATAAATCTTGCTGCTCAACCACTGGAGGCTTATTTAAAAATGAACGTGTTTCTTTTTTCTTTCTTTCTTTCTCTCCTTCCTCTCCCCTCCCCAACAGTGGGAGAAGCAAGATCAATATTCTTCCTGACCTACGCTGGGTTTATTGTATCCTTTGACTCACTGACCAAGGAATGAAGAATTTTTAGGAATTGGTACTAAGAGATCTAAGAAACAGCCATTTCTCAAGGCTCCCATCTGGTTATGAGTTGTACCTCCTGATGGGCACACCTGGAACCCGGCCCATGTATTCTCCTTTTAAAAAGCCCTCGTTCGGGGCTGGGGATGTGGCTCAAGCGGTAGCGCGCTCGCCTGGCATGCGTGCGGCCCGGGTTCGATCCTCAGCACCACATACAAACAAAGATGTTGTGTCCGCTAAAAAATAAATATTAAAAGATTCTCTCTCTTTAAATTAAAAAACAAGCCCCCTGCTCCCCCTGGAAGTTACGATTGCAGTCTCCGAGTCTTGAGTCTGCTGAGTTTCTTATTTGCTGACAAATTAATAAAACTTCTTTTTCCTATTTCTCAAAAGCTTGTCTTTGTTATTGGATGGGCAATGGAGAAAAGAACTGAGTCTTCACTGTCAATACTGTCACAGAGTAGCCTTGAGTACAGGCAGAGGCTGCTGGACTTGGTGGGTCCTTCAGTTGGAGCCCTGGGCATGTGGAACCTGACACAGGCAGATGCTGGTTTCAAGACTCATCTCTCCGAATGTGCCCCTACTTCTTTTATGACATTTGAGAGTTTCCCTCATTTTTCTGGTAGTTTACCCATAGATTTAAAAACAAATGATTCATATCCTGCATTTTAGTTCTTTCCCCTCCATGGGACAATTATTCTGGTTTTTTTTTTCATCATACTGTTGGACATCCTATCTTGAAAAAGATGATTTCTAAAATAATTTTATCTTGGTGTTATGTGTCTACTTCTTAATATTGTCAAATGGTCAAAATAAAAATCCAATCATCAAATGGCCAAGCATTTACCTTTTTAAATCTGAATGACAGGGAGCAGGACTCAGAGTCTCCACACCCTGCATCCTTCATACCCAGGCATTAGGATCCGCAGCTGCAGAACCAGACTCAAAGGGGGTCTAGGTTCAGGACCAGCACCTCTAGACCCGGGTACAAGGTTGGGTCTGTGGGAGGAGCGTCTTGGGTTTGTGATTGGCTCACGCTCCGCTGCCCTCCCAGCCAAGAGAACTTCCCTGGAACAGCAAAGTAAGAATCCAGGAGCAATTTATTTTCAAATTACTGCAAAGGAGGGGACAGGGAGGGGTGCAGGATGACGAAGTGAGCAGTGGAGAGTGGAGAGCTGTTTGAAGGTCGGTGGAGCAGGGCACGGCCATGGTCGTGGGACGAGCATGACCCCCATGGTTGTGAGGTTATGGGAGTCTCTTCCCTCCAGTTTGCTGGTTCTTCCAAGAGTCAGATACGGGGACAGGTAGAGCAGAAGGAGCACCTTCTCCTTCCGAAGGAATGAGTGCTCAGGGCTAGATCCCATTTGCTCCCAGTAGTTTCCTCTCTTGTCTTTTCTAAGGGAGAAAGAGAGCAAGACAACCCCAGTCAGGAGAGAAAGGGCAGATTCTCTCTTCCAGGACAGCTTGATTCTGGAGTCAGCCAGATCTAACACTGGCCGAAAGGTACCTGATTCAAAAAGCACCAAAGGGCTGACATAGCTATGAACTTCCCTGGCTTCCTGGGCTCTTGGGCTGGAGACACTTGATTGAAAACAGGATTTCTGAGTTGGGGTAGAAAGGCACGATGCTGTGAACAGCTCTACTACCCGCAACACACAGACACACATTTAGGGACTCACCTTCTTCGGGGGGAATCTTCTCCAGCAGTACAGGCACAGCGGGGCCAGAGATGCCAGAAGCAACAGAACCCAGACACCCATGAGCATGGCCTGGAGGCTTATGACCAGGGCCTGGGGACAGAGGGCCAAAGCCAGGGTCACCAGATTCAGTGGCTCTCCTTCCCTTTCCATGCTTTTTGCCAATTTTGTGGCTTCTGGAGGTGAGTCAGTGCATCCCGTGTGTAGGATGCAGCTAGAATCCCTTCCCTCTGGGCTTCAGTGTCCTCATCTCTATGGAGATGGACTTGGGTCTAGGACTGGATTCCCTGACAACCTCCAAGACTTGAGAGGACCAAGGGAGCAGTTTCCTTTAACGTCTTTGCAACACGTTGAAGTCCTGCGGCCCCGGTTTTCTCATGGTCGGTATTTTAGGGCTTGTCTGTGCCATGGTCTGCAGCACTCACGGTCGCAGGAGCTCTTCCTGTGGTGCTTGGTGACGATCATCAGGTGAAGAGCAGGGGCACCTGTTTCTGTGGACGGCCTTATTCTCGCCCCTTCCTGGCCCTCCCTGCCCACTCCTTCACATTGGCCACCTACCCTCAGCATGTTCACCTGGGAGATGCACAGGTTTAGCCTTCTGACTTCTTTGGGACTTGGGGTGATGGGGGATTTAGTGGGCCAATTTTCTGAGTAGATTTTACAGTCATCTTCATCTGCAAAGTAGTGGTATTCATGGAAGGAACTAGCCCCAATTACGATGGCTGCAATGGCGGTGCAGAAAGATGCCAGTATGAGAAGGGTCCTCAGCAGGGCCTGGGGAGGGGAGGAGGCAGGGGCAGACTTCAGCAATGCAGTCTCTCCCAGAGCCTGCACTGGGGACAAAAGGGCCATGCTTGGTGACATTCAAGTATGATGGGGTAGGAGACTTGGACTGGCCTCTGGCCTGAGCCTCCTTCCTTCCCCTGCCCTGACCTGAACTCACCCAGCAAATTCCACCCCGTTTCTCGTAAAGAAATCCAGCAACTCCAGCCAGCACGGCCTGGGGAGAGATTAAATCAGCAGTGATGTGCACAGGAAACGTGAGTGCCTCTGTGTCCCCATGGGCACACCATGTATGTTCCTAGGTTTTGCGCTAAGCAGTAGTTATGTAACTACTGAGGATGCTGAGTTGGGTCAAACCCCTGAGGCTACAGAATGCTCTGTTCTAGTGACATCTAGAAGTGCTCGTGGTCAAGCCAGGTGTGAGCCTTTCCTCCCTTCTCCAAAACCCTCCTTTTTGAGCCACACCAGGTGCCTCATGAGAGTTCCAGGGTTGGGGCAATCTTAGGGGTGGAAGTCCAGGTTGTGGAGAAGCTCTCAAGGCAGGATGTCTTTGGTTAGCCCCAGGTTCCAGGGCCTGTCCCAACAGCTCTACAGTTCATTTGGTTAGGCTCAAAGAATCAGAAAGTCTGGTGTAGCCCTGAGGACAGATGGATCCAAATCCTGTTTGGCTATTCTGTAACTAATCCAGGTGTTTCTATCACTGGATGGATTGGGATGACGTCTTTTGTTTCTATCTCTCTGTGTTTTACTATCAAAAGAGTGCAAGTCTGTCGGAGAGTCCCCAGGTCCACCATGAGCAGCCCACTGAGCTCCCATTGAAGATTGCACATACACATCTCTTGACCTTTGTGCCTGGATTCCCAGTGATGTGCAGAGCACAACAGGGAACTAGGAGGCTACGCTTCCTCTGGGGATTGCAGACTCTCTATCTGCCTCCCCTATCTCAGGGCAGACATCTGGAGGTGAGTAGGTCCTTAGAGCCTTAGCTAATAACTGGGACAATGGGAACGAGGACCTATTCTGGTGGGAAGGGCACTGGGCAGGGGACCAGAGAGGTGACCCTGTGACTTCAGACATCGCCCCACTTCCTTTGGTTATTTTCTTATCTGCATCAATGACAAACTGGCCTAGATAGTTAGGGTCTTTTCGGTGGCTAACATTCTGTTCCACCATGTTGGGGTGGTCCTGGGAAGTCCTATCCTTCTGTTGGGAGGTTGGTCACCTGCTGCCTCACTTACCACAGCCCCGGTCCAGATGGCAGCTCCCAAGTAGCAGAATCTGGTGGGCCTGTAGATATAGAGGAATCCCCCCAGGATGCCACTCAGGACACCTAGCACCAGCTGCACCACCTGGAAGACAGAGGACCTAAAGACAAGCTCCTAGGTGCCTGCACAGAGGCAGCCCTGCCCCCAGGCCTTATGGTGGCTTTGTGGACCCATACTTCAGGTACTGGTGGTTAAAACCCAGAGAGGGGACTCTTTCAACTCATTCCCCTGCCTCCTGCCCCATGCCCTGCTTGTAATGAGAAGATGGAGAAACTGATTTCTAAGAAGAAGAGAAAACTGGCCCAGCACCTATTTGGAGAGAGACTGGCAGAGAGTGTGTGACCCACAAGAAGAGGGTCCTTTCCTTGGCCTAATGTGAGGGACAGGGATGTCCCACCAGGGAGGGTCCTGTGAGATGGGCAGCCACACTCACCCAGGAGGCCACCAGCAGCCGGCTGTTGCTGAGGGTCTGGGGGGCTGTGCCTCCGGGGAGGGCTGGGAGCCGCAGCAGAGAGCATCCTGCCAACAGGAGCTTGGCCAGAGCCGACTCCTGGTGGACGTGCACACTGATGTGGGTGGGTTGCAGGGCCTCGGGAGCCACCTCACCATCGTCTGCCGTCCCCATGTCCTTGGATAACAGGCTGTGAGGGAGGACAGGAGAGCGAGGAAGGGCAGCTGGCAGATGTTCGCAGGTTCACTGGAGTTCCCGAGATCAGGGCCAGAGTGCCCAGGGTCACTGGGTGGCCGCCCTGGTCACAGAGCCACACATGTGGCCCTTCTTGAAGGCTATCTTCAGGGCAGCCTGACCCTGCCAGGGCTCCTCCTCCACCTCATATCTGTTCCTGCCACTCACGGTCAGACCCTGGCGTCAGGGTCAAGCTCTCCGTGGGCCTCACCTGTCCACCACCTGCCCCCAGCTGGGCTCTCCTCTGGCCTCTCCTCTCCAGAGCCCTCTGACTGTCCAAATCCCGAGGCCCCCAAGCTCTGGCCCTCTGCTGAGCTTCCATTTTGGCGGCTCTTCCCCAGAGGGCCCTGGAGACCCCTCAGCCCCCCCACTGAAGCTCACTCAGCACTGACCATGCCACTTGCCCCACTAGTGGTGGGGTGGAGGTCAAAGGCCAGAACCCTCCTTGCCTCTTCCCGTCCCATCTGCTGGAGCCATCCCGGTGGGGTGGTCCCTCCGTCCCCGGCCAGCTCTGAAGGAGCCAGGCCTGTGGGGGGCGAGGTGGTGCTGGGGGGCCAGGGCTGGGGCCTCCTCACCTGCTCTCCTCAGGGCCCCTGAGCGAGTGTGTGGCAGGGAGAGCTGTGAGGACCGCGAAGGAGCTGGTTGGCGCCCAGGACCCTGCCCTGGCTGAAGGAGGAAGTTGGCGGGGAGCCAGAGGGATGGAGACTGAGGGCAGTGACCAAACTTTAGCACTTCCCAGCAGACAGCTGGGGCTGGGGGTCCTCAGGGGCTTTCCAGACTATGGTGTCACTGGGCACTGGGGAGCTGGAGCCATGAAGGGTAGGCACACAACTGACATGCCCTGGGGGATCCTATGAAGGTGTCCCCTCTTCCAGCCCCTGTCAGGCCAGGGCTTTCTGAGCAAGTGTGTGCCTCTGCTGCATGCTGTCTGAGTAGGTGTGTGTGTGTGTGTGTGTGTGTGTGTGTGTGTATGATGGAACCCCCCAAGATGGGCCCCTTGGTTTCAGCCACTTGCTGGGAAGTGGCCCTCTTCCTCTACCCCTGCCTGCTGCTCCCCTCCCTCCCAACCACCCTGCAGGGTCCTCAGCTCCAAGTCTTCTCCTCCCAGCTTGCTCGGCTCTGCCAGCTCCCAGAGGACAGCAGGTGAGGCAGGGCCCTCCACTGCCCAGGGTCCCTTCAAGACTGAAGCTGCCTGAGGGGAGGAGAGGCCGGCACCTGCTCTGCCCCACCTTCCCCAGCGCCTCCAGTCTCCGTCCTGGGCTTGGGTGGATGGAGCTCCTTCAAGACTGAGCCCTGAGGGCTGTGGGTGGAGGGAGCAGGGTGCTCTGTCCCCAACCCCTTGAGCACTGGGAGGAAGGACCGGGAAGTGTCCAGGGCACCAGGCAGAGCCCACTGCGTGGAATCAGTGGAAGGTGGGGGTGGAGTCTGACGCGTGCTGCAGGGTCCAGATCTTGCTCTTCAGAGGGTTGGAGTGGGGTGGGAGGAGTGCCCAGGGAGCCTTCCGGTAAAGTATCTGAGCACAGGACACATTCAGTACTGCAACCTGATGCCAACTCTGGGTCCCCAACAGAAGATCTGAAATCCAGGGCTGGTGTTCCTTCTGTGTGCCCATGAGTGAGCCTGGATCTCTTTTTTGCCTCCTCCAAGCTATCAAACACCTGTTCTTTTACTCAACGAAGGCTGCTGCTGGTGGTGGTGGTGGTGGGGTGTGAGATATTCCGAGAGTGGCAGCATACAGTGGGAGGTGGTACCGGAGTCGATATTACTATTTGATTTAATCTGTGACACTTCACTTGCATGCCTTGTTAGAGTCACCTATGTAGGATTTCTCTTGGAGCTAGGGAAGTCAATTTTAAATTATATATGGAGAAATAATTTCCCAAAAATGGGCATGATGATTTTGAAAAAATAGCATAGGGAATCACAAAACAGCATAATCAGACATTAAGCTCTATACTAATTAAATTGGAGTAATGGTGCAGAGCTCATCAGACACACCAATGGGCAGAGTAGGAAGACTGGAGTAGACCTCCCTTCCTATGGGAACTTTATTTTTGCTCAGGAGAGCATCTTGAGTTGCTGAAAGATGACATATTTCACAAACAGATGCTATCCTTCAGAAGTTAAGCATCGGAACAACTATAAAAACTCAGATCCACGTCTTCCAAATTAGGACACAAATTCCAGAGGGATCAATATTAAAAAGTAAAACCAAAAGCCTAAAATCACTTAGAAGAAAACATGGGAGAATTATTTTAACATCTGGAACTGGGATGACCTTTTAAAGTATGTGATATGACCTAGGAAGCATAAAAAGGAGGAAGAGCTTTTATAAACTTAAACTAGAGTTTTAAAAATGAAAACTATGAAAATACAAGCAAAGTCAAAATATAAATAACAACTTGTAAAGAAATAACTGCAACTCGTGGCAGAGATTGTAAGCTTTTTTGTATATACAAAGAAATTCAATAAAGACCAAAACAAAATAAAATAGGAAGCACATAGGATATAGAGGAAGAGCTCACAAAACAAATGACAATGGCTCTTAACACATGAAAAGATGATGGACCTCATTTATGATAAGAATGAAAATTAAAATATAATAGATACTGGAATATATTTGAATGAAAATTTAAAATGTAGTGGAATAGCTCCAGAAGGCACATTGGCAGTTACCTGCAGCTGGTGGTTGGGGTGCTTACTGGGGAGAATCATTGAATCATTTTTTTTCCAACATAGACATCTATATCTTGATCGTAATAGTGGTTGCACAAAGGTATAAATTTGTCAAAATTCATTGATGATCTCAATGCTTTAAATGCTTATCGCATTTAAAATGGAGCATTTTATTGCGCAAAATTACTAACATCTGCAATGGAATGTTATTTCCCATCTAATATTGAAATAGAAGAGTTTGCTTCACCCTCTTGTGCCGTGGGGAGGGCAGCTCCACTCCTGTCGGCTGCTGCTCCCTCTGTGGAGAGTGACTGTTCGTACCCTCTGAAATTGTAATGCACATTTCCACATTGGCTGTAATAGAAAAGCGTTGGAAATGACCTAAAAGCTGTCAATCAGGGAACATTTATATAAATCATGATGGATTCATACACCTGATGCTATGCAGCTAAGCAAATGAATAAAGAAGCTTTTCATGGATACATGTAGGATTGTTCTACAAACATATACTAATAGGAAAGCAGCATTGTGCTGACCAGTGTGTACAGGATACTGCCATTTCTAGGAAAAGGGGCGAGAAAGATTATTTTTAGACCATTTTGGGTGTGAAAAATGTCATTGGAAGATATGTAGGAAATGGATCATGTTACTTTCCATTTGGGAGGCAACTAGACGTCAGGGAGAAAAAGACAGAAGAGAGGTCTTAAAGGTATAATGGAGATAGAACCCAGGGCCTCGCACATGCCAGGCAAGTGCTGTACCCCGAGCCACATCTCCATATCTCTTGAACTTTTTAACTAGTGAAAGTGTTGTGTGCAAACATATATACCGAGTCACTAAAATTATTCCGAATTTTTTCTTTGTCCTATCCTACACCCCACAGGTCATTTTGGGTCCAATAAGGTATGTGGTGAAATTCTGGATTTGCACCCCAGGGTAAGGTTGTTGGGACATTGGTATTGGTCCAGGAGGACCTCTGGACTCAACCAGGTCAGGTATGGCTTTTCACCTCACCTGATTCTCAGACTCCATTCACTCTTGTCTGGCTTTTCCCTACCAGGCATGATGACCCAAAACAAGGTGACCGTGAACGGAGTTGATGTGGTCTCTACGCTGTCCCAGCCCACCCACATTGATATCCACATCCACCAGGAATCGGCCTTGACACAGCTGCTGAAAGCTGGGGCTTCCCTGAAGCAGTTCATTTCACGCCCTCGGGATACTGGGCCTTCTGGGGCCAGGATAAACAATGCTCAGCTGGCTCTGGGGGTGAGTGTGGGGGGCTAGGTGGGACACCAAGGTGACCCAGAGGATGGAGAATAGGAAGTGAAAAGGAAAGTGGGCTGAGTCCCACCAGGAGGGACATGAACTCTGTGCGTTTTCCGTCATGTTTGGGAGAAGGCTTGAGGGTTCCCCACTGAGGACGGGATGGAAAGAAATGGCGCAGAGCGGGCAGTGCCAGCCTAGGGCGGGGCAGCAGGCAGAAGACTCTCTGGAGCTGCTAGTGCAATTGGGACTGAGGGCTGCAGGTACAAGGCCATTTGCTGGGCCCTTCACCTGGGCTGTCACCTAAACGTGCTCCACATCCTGCAGAGAGTTCATAACACAAATGATCAGGTGGATCCGGTGATGGGAGAAACAAGAATCACACCTTGTGTCCTGGGCAGGCAGGAGTGGAGGCTGCACCAGACCCTGAGCGCAGAAGGACTGGGTTTAGAAAAGGTGGTGGCAGCAGCAGAAGCAAAGGAATTCCAGGTGAAGGAAATGGCAGGAACAAAGTTTAAGAGGCCAGAAAGCCTATGCAATCGTAAAGAGCAGAGAGAATCGGACTTTCAGCTGAGAGCCTCGTGGCCAGCTGAGGGCCTTGAATGACAGGGAGGCCTGGTGAGTCGGCCTCGGAGGCAGGAGGGCTGTGGGTGGGCTCCAAGCAGGAACCTGGGCCCTGGCTGCCTCCGAGCAGGAGGTATCCAGGTCAGACGTATGGAACGTCTGCTCTCACTGGTCGTAGCAGAAGTGGGGAGGAAATAAAGGCGTCCCCACCCTTGTGTTTGGGTCTCTGTGACTTGGGAGTCACTGGCTTTGGGATATGAGGGAAGACATGGGTTCAAGATGCCGAGGTCTGGAGTGTGGCCGACTGGGAGACAGGAGTCCTGGAGGGCAAGCAAGGGACCCTGGAGCGCAGGAGCACAGTGGATTTTAGCTGCGACCGAGCTGAGATGTTCCCAGGACGTGCAGCTAGTGGTACCCAGGAGCCTGTGATTGTTGGGTT